CTGCGCCGAGTGCCCTCCCCCTGCCCGTCCTCCCCTGCGGGCGCTCGGAGCGGGGCAGCGCCGTGCCCGGCCGTGTGCCGCTGGGGATGGTGCGTTGTGTGCGCCCTTCTCTCCTCTTGCGTCCAGGTTTTGTGTATGTTCTCTGACTTTAAACTGTTGTATGATTAAAACGCTAAAACTGGGGGTGGCTTATTTCAAATGCCCTTGGAGAGAGGGGCACGTGTTCCCTTTGCCTGGCAGCTGGGGACCGGCACTGACTCTGGTCCGGAGGCAGGTGAGGCGCTTGCTGGGCTGCGGCGTCCGCTCCGGCTCCGGGACCGCAGTGGCCTTGCCAGATTGCGTGTGGATGTGCCTCGAGACGGCATGTGCATCTTCTTGAACCTTTCCAGGTATTGCCTCTGGCCAGGACTGAGATGAGGACTGACTATCATACTAGTGATGTTTCTTGGTCATTAGGTCACCCCTTCTTCACCTTTATCAAATCTGTGTGAGATTTATTCTGCATTTAGCCCCACCACAAGTTTTGTAACTCAAGTCTCTGAGGACTAAAATGAATCTGAATTGCAGAGGCTGTGCTGAGGAGATGTTTCAGGAACAGGTCTGTCCTACCTGTCTGAGGCTAGAGAAGACCCATTCCTCTTTTGATAGAACAGTTCTGGCTGTACCTCGGGAGTGGGAGGTGTCAGGGGGAGCGGTAATGAAAGTGATACTGAATATGTGGTGTGCTTTTTTGCTATTATCTTTTCTTTGGCCCAGCAGTTACGGACAGCTCTGAGGAGAGGAGGAGACACCGGTCCATGAGTAACTATTCAGCCAGTAACTTTACTTGTCAAGCTCTGCCCTGATGTCACTGATTGCATTACTTTATTGCAATAATAGACCTTTCCACTGCAGGGAATTTGCAGCACTATTTTAATTTCTTTAATGTTTGGAAAGTTACCTTTGGCATTTCCAGCACTGAGCTATCTTACAAACAAACAAACAAAACAACCACCAAAACAACCCCCCAAAACTAAACCAACCAATAAACCCCACCCCCCTAGACAAGCAGAGGAAGCACTTTCCAGTGATGTGGTGTCACACTGTCTTCTCCTGAAAAAGTGTTTCATTGTTTGAAACACAACTGTATTAAACTGTCATAAAACTTCTTCAAGTTTCTTGTCCTGTTTCCGTTTATACCTTACCTTTCCAGAAATCAGCTTTGTGTTCTCAGTCGGGAATACTAGAGTCCACAGATGGAAACTTTGGGAGTAGGACAGAGACCAGAGATCTTGTATGTAATTCTGCCTGTTCATTGGATACTCCTTGGTAGTTTCCCAGGTTCCTTCTATTTATTTGCTGAATGTATTTTAAATATCTGTTCTCCACAAAACTGATGGTGTTACAGAAATATTAATTGACAGTTTTTAAGAGTTTTTCAAGGGTAGAAATGGAAGCTCTAGGTGGATCATTTAAAAAGTATACAGTATAAACTACAAAATCCAGAAAATGCACTAAATGCAATGTCTGTCTTCTGCAGGGGACCTTCTTTGCTCTCAGTTTGTGGAGTGATTCTAGTGTTGCACTAGCAGTAGATATGGCTGAACAACAGTTCTACAAAATAAGGATAGAAAATGGTTTATTTTGTCCCTTCAGAGAAATAATAATTTAATCAGAATTTCCAAAATATATTTAGTGCTTTGCATGGGTAAAACTGATGGAGTTTGTGTGTGTGGGCATGTGTATCAGTTTGATTCAGGAATGGCTGGGATAGACCCCAAATGATGCAGCTTTGCATTTCTGTGCCTCCAGGTGATTCATGTGAGGCAACATGGTGTCTCTGCTGATGGGACTTGTGCTTGACTTTGCTACAGGGCGCTCAAATGGGGAAGACTTCTCGGCAATGCGATTACTGAATTTGAAATAAGTTCTCTTGCAGAATTCAGGAAAAGGAGTCTAAACCAAAGCAGCTAGAAGAAGTAGCTTGACTCACTGATACGCAGTCTCTGGAATTTTCCTCTGTGTGGGCTGAAAACCTTCTTATTGTTAGAATGAATCTACTGTAGTTTAGAAGCTTCAAACAATTCATTCAAATTATTCATGAAAGGGCTTTCAGATGAAAAACTTGGAAGAGCATAGCAGAAAGGAAAAGGTATATGCAGACATGTACTGTGCTACATTATGTGTATAAAACACACTTTTCTACTTATATCTCTGGTACTGAATGAAGTGCGTTGTTCAGGCCCTAATTCCTCTTCCTTTTGTGTAAGGGGATTTAAGGAGTTTGTGAAAAGACTTATTGTTGTTGCTGTGTTGTTGTTTTGGGTGTATGCAGCCTGGTTTAACTTACTGTTGGTTGCAGCCATAGGCCTCAGTACTATAAAATGCTGGAATCACTCAAAAAAAGCAACAACAGGCTACAGAAAATAGGTAGAGGCCTTAAGTGTCATAGCAGGGCAGGGTAACATTCCTTTTCTCTATGGGGTAGATGACTTGAACTTTCTTTGTCATAAACTCTTCACTCTTTATTCACAGATTTTGCAGAAAGTGATAATAATTTGCTATCATCTTTTCCATTAGCATTTGCAAGTAACTTGTCCTACTTCAGTTTTCATGCACTACATCTTCATTTTCTTTGCATGACTCTTTCCTTGTGATCAGTTTACACGTTGCCATCATTCTTTTCGTGGAGAAGGGCACGCTATTTTTAGTTTCTTAGGGCTACCAGGCCTTTTTGGTGTTGCTGTTCTAAGTAGCTTTAAACTTCCTAACCAGTTTTATTAACTGGCATTTAGCTGTGGGACATCAGAACGGTAGTAGGTGGGCGTGTGAAACAAAGATGTCTTAAAATAACTCCCTCCTCTTCAGTGTGTGCATTTGCAGACACTGAGGAATATTTCTATTTTGGGTGTATTTTGTTGAAGACACTCCATTTCTCTTTTAGTAAAGAAAAATTACTTTGGCAAAATCTTACTGATGAGCTTAGAGGTAAATACTTGATTTCTGGGGGAAGTGAGCGGGACTTGTCTTAAAACTTGAAGCTTAGGGTGGTTTGTTTTTTACAGGTTTCAGTCCTGTAAGGTGCTAGGCTCTCAAAAAAAGCAATGGCTCTAATGTCCAGTTTATTCTTACAGTGGCTGCTGGTGCTTTTGGGTAAACTGAGCAGATAGATTTTTTTTGTTTTGTTTGATATTTCCTCCCTATGTCTTCGTTCCCATTCCTTCATCACACCCTTTTGCATTTCAGAAGTGCCTTCCCACATCTTTATGGAGCCCTGGACTTGAGGGTTTCTCCGGCCTGTTTGTAATGGTGATAACACCGTGTTTATGGCAGCTTGGCATCACAGGTGTGCGGGCAGTAATACCTCTTAGTTACTTAGCATCTTAGCTGTCAGGGACAGCATTGTCTTTACACTGGATGTTTTTAGCTTGTTTACAGGGCTTTCTTAAAGCATTTTGCTGTTTTCAGTCATTTCACATCTACCTCTTCAGAGTGTTGGTTTCTGTTTGTTTTTTTTTTTTTTTTGTGGTTGTGACACATTGTTTCAAACATCTGGACCAAAAAGCAGTAGAAACTGAGGAGATGTGAAGATGTTCACAGCTGGGCTTTGGTCTTTTGCATGCTTGTCCACAGAAAAAAATTGGATGTCTTGTATTTTGAGATGGGTAAAGGAACGGCCTGAGTTTCTCATTTTTACATGCCTAAATTATGTTTTCTCATGCTTTAGTAAGAATTTTCCAAAATACATCCCTGCTCTTGAAAATGGTTGAGGGTGCAGCATGTGCTTCCAAGTTCAGTCTATTTGCACATCTTTGCAGTTATTTTTGTATATAAGTTGATGTTTTTTCATGGTAGGACCTCAGGAAAGAAGGGGGTTAGGACTTGCCATTCCTCAAGCAAAAACCAGTGAAACTGATTCGTCTGCTAACTAATCACCTGGGAGAACCAGGATGTGCTGGAGAACAATCTTTATTTTTAGAAGCTGCTTGTTTCTACAAAATATACTTTTCAGAGTATTTTTTTAAGTGAGTAGTCCCTTCAAATCCTCTTGCATGAAATAGCCTTATTCTGTTGAATCAGTTTTCTACTAATCTTTAATGCAGTCTCCAGTATCCTATACTTTGGAGAGTTTCCAGTCGGTTCCTATCTCACTGGCAATAAATCTGTTACTTTTAATGAAATTAAGTTGGAATACTGATTATCTACATGCTCCTTACAGCTGTCTCTGTAATTTAGAGTTCACAAGACGTTGCATTACCATTAGTATGCTAGGCTGTAATTCAGGAGAAAGAAAACCATGTTTTAGATTCTTAAATATTCATTGGAGAAGGGACTTGGGACCAGGTAACCTCTCTAACTGTTTAAGTCCAGATCCTTTCAGGTCAATGAATATTTAAATACCTTGTATAAAAGGGAACAGTCTCTGTAGGAGGTTCTGGAAGTGGGTCACCCAAACGCTTTATAACGTACTCTTGGGTATGGCTCTGGAAGGTGGAATGTGTTTGGGTCCTACTGGGCAGAAGAGAAATCTGGGACCTAGTCTGCTGTGTCCTGAGTGTGAATAGGCTGCTGGATAAGAACAGGCAGCACAACCGCATTGTCTCTTTTCCTTCTCTTCCTCAGTGGTTTTTAGAGTAGTTTGAATTTCCCTTCCATCTATTTTTGTCTGAACACTTGAAGTAAGGCTGCTCGTTGAAGTCTGTCTCTTGTTTGATCCTAAATAGATGGGTTTTTTTAAACGGCTTCCCGCCTCTCCCTTCCTTGCTTCAAGATGGAACTGAGTATTTAGTTATTCTCATAGTTCTAGTATTAATCTTTCATGGATTAATGGCATGCAAAAGAAATCTTTCCAGATGTTTTCTACTGTGAGATGTCTTCTTTGAAGTGAATATTTTTCACCGATACTGAGAAATAAGCTTATCTCATAGCTCTAACTTTTAGAGGGTGTTTCCTTTTTTAATACTGTGTGTGGGTGAGAGTTTAGTGATTGCATAGACGTTAAGGAAAAGGTGGCAAACTGAACTCGTGGACAGAGTTTAGTTTAAGAAATGAGTTCTTGTTATATTGCAGGAAGCTTTAGTTTTAGTATATATATGCACACACATGAATAAAAGTTGTATAAAAAGTATACATAAGCATGTAAATATGTATATATATGTGTATATATTGACTGTTTTTTGTCACTGGGGCTTGAAGGGCTGTTTTTGTGACGTTTCTGCCTGATTGCCATTTCTGTGTCTTAGAACTAGGTTTCCTGAATCCAAACCCAGTTTCCTTGGTCCTCACTATGTGCATTTGAGCAAAACCCATGCACAGAGAAACAAAGAGGAAGTATTCTGTAATGCATTTCAAATCCCAGTGTAACTCTTGTTATTGCTTGTTAGGTTTTCACAATATTCCCTAGGTAAGCCTCATTCTAAAATGTGAAGAAACTATGCAATAATAATCATAAAAAGAATTCTTACTAATAATGGTCCTCTTTACAAGTCAGTCTCATTGAATGACCCAATTGTGTTTTTTGAGGGCCACAGAAAGTATGCATAAACATTTTGGATTAGACTGAAAGCATATGCCCATATAATGATGATTAAGAATACAACAAATCCTTGCCTGCACAGCCCTTGTCTTTTTAGCCTTGGGGAAAATGGCATTTTTAAACTATTATTTGAAGGCTGTTGAAGCCATAGCTTTGAAGAGATGTTGAAAATATAATATTTAAATTCCAAGGTCATGCTAATTCAGTTTAGATTTAATTCCTTTATCTAAGCAAGCTGACTTTTAATGAGTGCTTTTATACCAAATACTCCATAAGAGGGAACTGTTCAAGCAACCCTCTGCTTTAGTGGTGACATAATACTGTTTGCAGATACTGAGCGTGGACTGTAGACAAAGACCCTAAATTCACTTTAGGACCTAGGTTGTGATTGCTCTTATTTAAGAATGTCATGGCTTTAGATTTTCGTAGTAAAAATAGATGTGAGTAATGATAATTTCCTTAAAATTGTTCTATTTTGGTACTGCAGGTCCAATCTAATGCCAATATTAGGGAGACTTCGGTCTCTGAAATCATTGTTTGTTTTGTTGGGTGTTTTCCTTTCTTTTGGAAACTGTTTTTGATCTTCCCCCACCCTTCGAGGAATTAGAGTTGTTTTTCATAGTCTGGGATGTTGATTGTATCTAGTTGCTGAAGACCTGAAGACCTTTTTTACAGTTTCTTTTTACTCTTGATCCTTTACTTGTTAAAACAGATATTATGTATATTGAAAGAAATAGAAAATGCTTCATACCATCTGTTGCCCATTTCTAAAGCATTTTTGTCAATGCATGCTTCCTTTGGTGTAGTATGTATGTATTGCCACACACAGATACTATACTTCTGTCAGGGTGATTTGTGCAAGGCATGAAAGGGAATTGTTTTGGTATTTCAACTGGAGTTCTGAACAGTGGTTTGTACTTAAGAAACACTATTGCTTTTTCTGGTTTTGACCATATCATACAAATATGCAAAGTCTAACGACATCTTTGGTCTAGGTCGCTTTCTGAAAGATAAGGCCTGCACAGCCTGTTTCTTACCAAAAGTTGGAATGTGGTCTGCCTGTCTTTTGTCATAGCTGGCCAACAGGATGGAGAAAGTAAAAGCTGAGTTTTCAGATCTCACAGTTCAGAGAAAATGCTACCAAAATTTGTAAGCTGGAGGTGTCTGAAAAATAAATAAGACCTAAAATATTTACTGCTTCTGAGTTTTCTTCTCAGCAGGATGACACTTGAAAGCATAACCCAGAAAATGTAGATGTGGTATGTGGTTGTTTGGTCTTCTCTTTATGAAGTGTGGTGAATTGCAAGTATTTCTACTTTTTTTTTTTTTTTTTTACATCTACATGCATCTAATGACCTTGTGATTGTTCTTTTTCTAGGTATACAAAACTTGGCTATGCAGGAAATACAGAACCTCAGTTCATTATCCCATCATGTGAGTAATGTTTTGTCCCTCCAAATTCTAATATTCACTGCTATCGCTGAGCAGTTTCACGAGTTAATTACATGCTTTCCAACTCCCAATTCAGCCTTCAGAGCCTCTTGTCCATCTGGGAAGTGATATTCGTTGCGTTAGCATCTTTGGCTAGAGTGTAGCTAAACAGAACTCCTTGTTTGCACTTAGCTAGGACTGTTGCTCATTAAACCAGCTCTTGGTTGCTATGACAAAGATGAAGAGAACTCCAGTCCAATTTCCTTTTTATCTCCATTATTTTTCTGCCAGGGCTCTTGAGCAGACAGAATGCAATTTACCTCCTGTCTACCTGACACCATGGTTACTGCCTGGATAATCTGGGGAAGGCTTCCAATCAAATTAAGTACTGTAGTGCAGGTGCTGTCTGCCTTATTTACATTGTCTGGGTCTGTAGGCTGTTTAATATTCAAAAAAGTTGTCCCTATTAGAAAATGTTCTTTTTGAGGGTGTGTTTACCAATTAAAATGGCTTTGACCATTTAACATGCTTTTGTTGAGCAGATCTACTCTTAATTTTTTTGTAAGTTAATCTTGTTTAAAATGTTATGCTTCTCTGGTGTTCTTGATTTTAATTGTCATTTTACTAGTCTCTCTCAAATGCTATATGTATTTATGAATAGTAGCACTGACCACGTATTTAATAGATGCCATAACAATGGCATTGATTATTTCATGGTTACCTTCACTTATGCTAAACACTGCCTTTCACTTTTCATGACCTTTTAACTACTTATTAATGTATCTACACTGCCTTGTAGTTACTCGCAGTAGAAGATACAAAGATAAGGAAATAGTAAAGGTCACTGGGGGCCAAAGAGGTTGAGGGGGACATGCTCCTTACCAGATATAGCTGGTTATAGTTTTACTATTAAGTAAACAATTCAAACCTAAACCATTGGTGAAGATTTAAATGTCTTATGTTGAAGAAGTGGGATAGCAGGAGTTTCCTGTGAATTTGCTATAAATCCTGTTTTATAAAACTATAAAGTTGTTGTGGCTTAGATGTGTTTCCAAAAGAATTGTTTGCTTGTCAGTAATTTTTGGTGCTCATGGTACTTGATGTGTTTGTGGATGATGCCTGTCTACTCTGCATTTTCTACTGTATGTTGTTTAGATCCTAATTAGGACCTATTAAAAGAAAACTATATATAAATAAGGTTATGTTTTCAGAATACTTTATTCCATTTTTATTTATAGGTTGCCCCAGATTTGTTTTTTTGCTGTCTCATCCTCTTGCCTATAGCAGCCATCATCTAATAATTTTCATGGTAGTTGCAGCCTGCTAATGGGAAGCATGAGTGTCTCCAAAGGTTTCTCTGTAGCACTGCAAATTGATTTCTCCCCTCCTCCTTCCTCCTCGTCAACCGGGATAATGACTCCCATACTTATTTCTGAAGCACATAGTGGTGGTGGGTTTTTTTGTCTTCTCCTGTGCACTTTTAATTCTAGAGTTGAAACTCAGAAAATCACGTTGCTTACTGACTTAAAGAGCATCTCCAGTGGAATGCTGCAGTTACACAGGTTTAGTGATTGATGTAGTCTGTAACAGAATACGTTTATAAGATTTTCTCTGAGTTATTATTTGCTTTAATGAGGGATGGGTAACGAGAATCCTGTGTGATGCAATGAAAATGAACTCACTATATTGGCTTGTCAATAGATCACTTACATAATTTCTACTTTCTGGTTACTATGGTATATGGTATATACCATATGATGTTGGCACACATATATATGGTATATATATTTCTAGAGAAATATATATATTTCTGGAGAAGAATCCTTAAGTAAATATTCATCACTTGTCATTTAGCTGTTTTAATTTTGTTTTGATTTGTTTGGGTTTCACTTTAAGGTATTGCAATCCGAGAATCAGCCAAAGTAGGTGACCAGGCTCAGAGGAGGGTGATGAAGGGCGTTGATGATCTGGACTTTTTCATAGGAGATGAAGCCATAGATAAACCTACCTATGCTACAAAGGTAAGCTTTCAGTATCTTTAAGAAGTCTTTCCAAAGTTTCACATTTTTATTATCTAATGTTCTAGGACTTTTGAATAGCCATTTAAAATGCATATTTACTTTTTTTTGTGAAGTATCTTTGTTGCTTTTTAAAAGCTGCGTGATTTGGTTCATTGCTTTACCTTTTTTTAGATGTCTGTTCTATTAGTGCTGTCCTTTGGTGCTTGAACCCTTGTGTAAATATCCATTGATGGAGTGCAGCTGTTCAGTTTGCAAAATTATTATTAAAGTAGTCATAAACAGTGAAATCTAAATTCTTGCTAAAAGTGTATACTCTTAACATGGCATATGAGCTGGAGAATGTGTTGGACACTTCTGCTTCAGGGAGTGTCAATTGTTTTGTGGAGGGCTGTCTTCAATGTGACTTCTTTGTGAATCATGTTTTTCATACCCTAGTAAAGGACTTCTTGTACTTACAGAATGTTACTGGCTTATGAATTATGTGGAAAAAAAATCATATTTTATACATCCCACTGTATTACTTAAATGTCAGCTGTGTTCTTAACATTGAACAAAATGTAAACATCATCACTGCCAGAATTTTCGCTGAAAAACATATAGCCTATATGGTCTTTATTTCTTTTTACAGATTGGAAGGCATATTGAAGCCAAGTATGATTCTCCACTTTATAAAAGATAGAATTTATACAAAAGGAGATTAAAACACAGTGCTGCAGTAGGGCAATAGCAGTATTAGGAATAGAGTGGATTCTGGCTTCTAGTCCTGCAGATAGAATCTCACTTTGAAGTACCTGGGAGCAGGAGATAACTTCAAATAGTGCCTCTAAATTAAAATCAGAATGGAGGATTTGAGAAGGTAACCATGAGATGAGGTAGTTTCATTCTTGCAGAAGATGAAAGGGTTTGCAAACTTTTCCTATTTCTGGCCGTGTTTACCCTTGTGTGGTCTAGAGTGTTGACAAGTTTTCTTGCTTCAGTGGCCTATACGACATGGTATTGTTGAAGACTGGGACCTCATGGAGAGATTCATGGAGCAGGTCATTTTTAAATACCTACGAGCTGAACCTGAGGATCACTATTTTTTAATGGTGAGTTAATGAGACTGGGTAAGAAAATATTTCTGTAAGAGAAAAACTAAATAATGTTCCAATCACAAGTAGCTCTGTTGAATGGTTTTCTATATATCTCTCTCTTCTTTCTTCAGCAACCGTGGCCAGGGTGTGGAGAGGGAGGAATGTAATCTGTAAAGCTGCATTATAACTAAATTCTGTTAATTTTGCAATGCCTGCTACTGCAGGTAGTTTGTTGAAAAGCTTCAATTACTTTGTTTAAACTAAATCCTTAATGTTTAAACTTTTTTTCCTGCAGACAGAGCCTCCACTGAACACACCAGAAAACAGAGAGTATCTTGCAGAAATCATGTTTGAATCATTTAACATCCCAGGACTTTACATTGCTGTTCAGGTGAACAAAGTGAATCTATACTTCTAAAGTACACTGCAGCTGCAGTATGTATAGTCTTCTGTATGCACATGTCTGAAGTGTTTGAAACAGTGTTTTCTGAGACTGTATTAACACACTCTGCCTGCCTCTAAATATAAACTTTCTCATGTAGGCAGTGTTGGCCTTGGCTGCCTCTTGGACGTCACGGCAAGTTGGAGAACGTACTTTGACTGGAATTGTCATCGACAGTGGTGATGGAGTGACCCATGTAATTCCTGTGGTATGTAGCTGTATGCAATTTGATATTCTCTGTTTGGACAAGTATAGGGTTTGTTTACTATAGCTTTAAATAAGAAGTGTCAAATGAAACTTTATTTTTCAGTTTTTAGTGCTGCTTGGTTGTTTAAGATTTTTTTCCTCCCTTATGATTGTTTTAAAAGGTAGGTATTTTATTATATGACCTTATTTATGCAATTAATTTAGCTTGCAGACTATAGGAAGGTCACAGTAAGGAATCATCAGGCCATCTTTTAAAGGCTGTTTCTGTGTAAAACCTTGTCTTATGTTGTTGTGTTGCCTCTGTTCTCTTTAATATTAATTCTTATCACAGTTTTGGATCTCTTGTATGCCACCAATATCTGACAAGAAAAAAGTTAGGACATTTCATGTCCTGCATTTCGGTGGATTAATACAGCTGATAGCATATGGGTTTTATATGACTTTACTGTATTTAAATGTTAGTGAACTGTGCTTGTGTGGAAACAACTACAAACTTGTCTAAATGCATGTTCCTATAAATGGTTGATCTCATATAGCTTAATTATGTTAGGATGTTAAAAATATAGAATTATCTGTGCTTACTGACATCTGTTCTGTTGAGGTCATTTCATGTATTTTTGAAGCATATAGTATGCTTGAATGATCAGTTATTTTGGAAATGAAAATTCGATTCCTTTTAACTTTGTCTTGCATTTTGATATTAACTCTGTCTTCTCAGTATTTTCTTCATATGGGAAATGCAGGGAAAAAGCAACATTTGCCATCTGAAACTGAGAAGTGTAAAAAGAGCAAGGAGAAAAAAAAATGTTGGTTCAGCAATACCAATGTTTTCAGTAAATGCATCCCGAAAAACAAATCGGCAAATAGATTTCTTGCTTTTGTTATGCTTAGTGTTAGATTGTACTTAATTTGATTTTTCTTGTCTGAGAATTTTAATAAATTTCATACTTCTTCCTATTAATTTCTCACACTCAAACAGGACATCAGTTGGCTATTTGTTTTTCAGATCATGCCTAAAAGCAACCATCTGATCATGCTGTTTTCTAATTCGTGCAAGATCTCTTGTCTGTCACTTGTGTATCTATCAGACAATCAGTATCTGTTTATATATGATAATCAAGGTCTTTTTAAAAAAAAATCATAGTAATTTTAGTTTAGAGATCTTACTTTTAATTAAAAATCAAACAAAAATATTATGAAAATGAATGTTAGTTTTGTGGTTAATTATTGACACACAGCAGGTTTTTCCTTAAATGTTTTTTTTCCTCTCCTCCTACACAGGCAGAAGGCTATGTAATTGGAAGTTGCATCAAACATATTCCTATTGCAGGTAGAGATATCACTTACTTTATTCAACAGCTCCTAAGGGAAAGGGAGGTGGGAATTCCTCCTGAACAATCTCTGGAGACAGCAAAAGCCATAAAGGTACACCATTCTTTATCTCTTAATAAATACATAAATAAAACTCTTTGAGCTGGTTTTTTTTGTCTTTAACAAGTTGCCAGTGGCTCTCTTAGAAATGCAAATGTAGGCAGTGTATTGTAATTATGCAAGCTTCTGGTGGTTTATCCAATCAAGTGCGGGGGAAGGAGAAAGAGGAAGAAAATCTTCATGCTAGACTGTTTGGAGTGAATAAATTCTGTAGATTAAATCGGCATTTTAAGCTTTAGATTTGTTTAAAATTTGCTTTCTAATTTAATGAAAAATAAATGTATGTAATGCCAGTAGGGTGATTGTGTGGGTGTGATCTTGCAATGAATGCTTGCCATTGAAGTTCTTTATCACCACAGACCTAATGGCTGTGATGTTTTCGTTTTGAAGAATACTAGATGAGTCAGTGTGCAATCTTACTGAAACAAATAGGCCACGTGCGTTGTCTTGTAGGGTTGAGTCTTCAGTAGTTACTTGGGTGAGACATCCTTTGAACAGCCCCATCTGTAAGAATCACAGAATGGTTTGGGTCGGAAGAGACCTTATAGATAGATCACTTAGTCCCACCCCCCCTGCCATGGGCAGGGACACCTTGCACTAGACCAGGTTGCTCAAAGCCTCATCCAGCCTGGCCTTGAAGACATCCAGGGATGGGGCATCCACAACATCTCTGGGCAACCTGTTCCAGTGCCTCACCACCCTCTCTGTGGTGAGGCACTGGAACCCTCTCAAGGCCAGGCTGGACAAGGCGTTGAGCAACCTGGTCTAGTGCAAGGTGTCCCTGCCCATGGCAGGGGCGTTGGAACTAGGTGATCTTTAAGGTCCCTTCCAACCCAAACCGTTCTGCGATTCTGTAAGGAACTTCTTCCTGATACCTAATCTAAACCTCCCCAGTTTCAGTTTAAACCTGTTACCCCTTGTCCTGCCACTATATAAGAATGCTCACATATTTTTTTGTTTTCTGATTGTTTTATACTTTAATTGAATGATAGAATAATTATTTTGGCAATTTTTAATGCGTGGTATTTCTTAACAGGAGAAATATTGTTACATTTGCCCTGACATAGTGAAAGAATTTGCCAAATACGATGGAGATCCTCGAAAATGGATCAAACAGTATACTGGCATCAATGCAATCAACAAAACCAAGTTTGTTATAGATGTCGGATATGAAAGGTTCCTTGGACCTGAAATTTTCTTTCATCCTGAGGTAAGAATAGGGTCTAGCAACATCAAATTGTAGAAACTTTACTGTCTGAGTGAGGGTGGGGGTGGGGTGTTGGGACTATCATTTTTGGTGCCTGTGCGCCATCCCGTGGTAGTAAGAGATGAGGGCGTCTCCTGATTGCAGGGCACTGCAGGTTCAGTAACGGCAGCACAGCAGGTAATTATTTTTCTGATGTCCTGTGTAACATTTGAAGCATTTTATTCTGCTTTTTTAAAATCTAAAGTTGTTTAAACTTAATTTCTATATAGTGTTTTCTTTCTTTCAGCATTGGTTTAAACCAGTATGCCTTTATACTGTGTATTTGATTATGTTGCCAATCCCTTTGGGCAATACTCTGCATGGTAGCATTGCACTGATAATGCTCTAATACACTGAATTTTGATACGGAGTCAATTTACAAAACATGGATGCTAAATTTATCCTCGAGGGAAGTCCATTGGAACCTCTGCTAGTGTGCTCATAAGTAACACGCACAGTTCTGGGAAACATTATAGTACCTAGTCTGTCCGTTTTTTGGTAGTACAGTTTGAGTGAGCTTCAGGATATTGTGGGAGAGGAAAGAGTCAAGTTTTAATATGTTACAGCATAACAAGGAAGGTTCTCTCCATTGCTGCACACTCCATTGAGACACCCAGAACCTGTAATACTGTTAAAAAAACTTAATCAAGAACCACATTAGCACTGGTGAAGTTTCCCTTTGTCTACCCTTCTCCTCTCAGGAGAATATTAAAACCCCCTTATTTTCTCACCTTTTGTCTAAATTCCAGCATTGATCTCTGTGGTCAGTTTGTAGCCATCTGATCTTGTGCAAAAATTAAACCTCTGGGCTAAATAGTTTGTGCTCCCTACTGTTTACACATTTCATGTGTCAGTTTACTACAATTTCACATGTCAGTTCTCTTGTCCCCATTCTGGGAGCATGTTATACTCTGGTTGGGATGTTGTAACTCTCATTTCTGCTTACTCCTTTTGCCCTGCTTCTTTACCAATATCTTGATGGAGAGCCTGGGAGAAGTTTTCAGGCTGTAGCTCATTCAGATGAGAACTCTCCATGTGAAGCAACACCACTTCTTTCTTCTCTCTTCATTTACATGGCTTCATGTTTTAGCTTTCTGCATGATTAATTCTTACTGTGGAAATTAGCTTGAATTCTTTGGGATTTTTCACATCGTTCTTATGGCTCCTGATCTCCAAGTCAACTTCCTTTGCTCATTTCTCTTTCAGTTCAGTGTATACTTGTTTGTTGGCTGTGGCTATTCATCCAGTTAGATACATCTTGTTCAGGATGTAAATCCAAAATAATTTCCACACCTTTGGGAAAGTTTAAAGTTCTATCGTAATGTATCTGTTATCATATATGATTATGTGTCAAGAATTTGTTTAATCTCTGAAAGGGCAAAACCTTGGCTATGGACTGTTCTTCTTTTTAAAGCTCATGTTAAGTTTTAAGTGGAAAATTGCCACTAGTCCCAGAATGTTTTCTAGAATCAGCAACTCCAACTCACTAGTATTTATAGATGCAGAAATATACATTAGCACTGTATTGATGTTTGCATTGATGGGGACTTCCACACAAGACTTTAGAGTATTTTTGCCTTTTTGAATATTAGAGATTTTTTTGTGCTTGGGAAAGAAATCTGAATTTTTGATGGGAATTTAACATAAGTATTTTAGTATGGTTGACAGTTTTTTTTTTTACAGGGGAACATTCCGATCTGCACACTAATACTTTTGATTTCACTTAAAAGGAAAGACAGGACCATATATGTATGTTTAATACCACATGTGGTATGTTGAATATTGCAGGAGAACTCAAGCTCATCTCACATGCAGTATTAGATCCACAGTGCATAAACTGTAAACAGTGAATTTATGACCAAGGAAGAGAATCTGGATTTCTCAACAGAAAAAGGAATTCTCATTTCCCTTGTACAGGAAGGGGTTTGTTATCATATAGAGTAAGTGGTGAGCAGGAGCAATGCTAACTTTGATTCCCACCCATCCCCTTTAAAGGT